ATGACCAGAGGGGTGTTTCATTATATCTGATTAAATTTCTTGCAAGGTCTTGTGGAACATGACTTTCATGAGATTAAGCTGGTATTAATCTCATGGAGCAAGGGTTCTTACACTATAAACAAAAATATTATAATATAGATATCAATAAAAATATGCCTTATGTGATGTTTATGAGGCCTTAAATTTTACTTATTTTCCACAAATGAATGCAATTATCTGCAGTCTTGAAAATGTGAGTTTGATGGAAAACTAAGATCAGCACTAAGGCACAATTAATTAAGTCTTTTTTTGCAGCTTTGTTCATTTTAGGAACAGTGAGCCCCCGAACTCCTCTTTATTTGGAATAATCTTTGCAGATCATTATAAATATATAACCTTCTCTCAGTCTTCTACAATCTTTACTTTTCTAATATCTAAATGAAAAAACACTTTAATGAAATGTCAGAAAACATACTTTTACTCTTATATAAATTTCTTTTATTTACAGCTCGGCCATTGAATTATTGCCAACAATTAATTTTAACATCTTTTCATACGTCTTAAAATGTAACCAGTCCTCTGTCTAATCCCTGGACCGACTGTTTTCCTTTATCTACACACTTTATCTATGCCTGATAAAATGCTAACTATTGATAATGACAAAATATCTCTTTAAAATGACCAAATTATGATGCTTACACTGCTAAAAGATGAGGGGAATGGTCCTCCTTCGTTCATACATTTCTCATTTTTTTCCTCGCAAATCAAATTTGTTTGATAGACTACATGCTTTTAAACCTTCCTGGGTTGTGTTTGACTCAATCGGTGACTCATATTTTTTTTTATCAAGCAAAGAAACAGTCATTTATTTTCCAACATGTATCCTTTAAAATCTGAGATTGCAGGTGAACTACTTAAATTTATTCAAATTTTGTGTTAAAAAACACTTTTTCCCTGTCATTTCATATCATACCTTGTCTGACTTGGCCTTTTTTTTAATATGCATCTTAAAACAGGAGATGTTCAAATGAAACACTGACAAAACTACTAGCACCCCCCCCCCCCACCCCCGGGAAAACTTTAAGAAAGAAATAACTCTGGGTTCATGCCTTGATGATGCGTGATAAAAAACTATGACTGTAGTCATTTCAGGATCAAATTAGTTTTCAGAGGCTCTGTCATGAGAATCCATCTGGAGTTTCTTTCATTATTTAAATGGATGGTGGGGATTAATCTACCCCATCTGTTTCTCTTTACCTATAAAACCATAACACCCTCAGAGGGGAGACGGATGGTTTATGTGGTTTTAAATAATGAAAGCACCACTACGAGAAAACAACCGAAGCTTTCTCTCAGGGAGGGTCGGTCACACACAAAGAAATCAATGCTGAAAAAACATATTATTATTGTTTTCTTCAAAGGGGAGCTTTCTGTTGAATTTTTCATACAATGAAAATTCAGCTTAGAGGTTGCTGATTAGACCAACTGAGTTATTTATTTGTATTTTTTGTCAATTCGCTTCCCAAAAAAAAAAAAAAAAAACAGCCACAAACCATCATCTCGGACATTTTCGAACAACAAAACTACATTTAATCGTCTTTGTTCRGTCCCACGTTTCCACGTGAATTCACGCGCCTCACAGATCCGAGTGTTTGTTAGAAGAGCGTGCAGCTGCAGGTGAACGCCTCGGTGTTCGACATACATGCGTTTCTGTTTCTCGTTTATGATTCGGCGTGAAAACAAGCTGTGCTGATGCTTCGCTGAATGGCAATTAGAGCGAAAAAAAAGAAGGAAACATTTACATAATCAGTGCAAAGTCT